AATGTTCAAAAAAGTCCCAGCGGGACTCTTTTTATAAACATGAATTTATAATATAATATGATGTTGAACAATTAAATATGAAAATATATAGGAACAGTGTGGTAGCAATCACCTCATTCCAGTCCAGGGGTTGTTATCAATTATGTACTCTTTAGTAAAACATAACATAACATAAACACTCATGCCTGTCACCAAGAGGGGTAGGCAGAGATTATGGACTTCCATTTGGCACGATCCTGACACACCTCTCTCACTTCCTCCACATCCATATACCTACGCATACACGCTCGTCTGTTAAAGTTACTCTTAATTTGGCCCATTTTCAATATATTGCTAATTTAGTCAATAAACTTTCGCCTAGGGCGTCCCTTCTCGACTCTGCCGTTCACTTCTGCAAAATAAATTTGCTTTGTCACTCTTTCCTCATTCATTATTTCTACATGACCAAACCACCGAAGCATTCCTTTCTTAATCCTGATCACAACATCATCTTGCAAACCACACTCTTCTCTTATCACACATTTTCTCACCCTGTCATTTAGATTCAGCCCTAACACACTCCTTAATGGCATTGCTACAGCATTTATTCCACTCTCGTGCTTCTTCTGCCACACCCAACTTTCACTACCATACATTAAAGTATGGACTAACATAGCATCGTCGTTCTATATCCTTATCATATCTACCATCCCTGCTAAATACACATCCCAATTACACAAACTCATCTACTTGCTCGACCAACTCCCCTTCCATTCTTATTTCACACATCGTTTTACTTTCTTCTCTTTCAAAAACCATAACTTTCGTCTTACTTGCGTTCACTTTCAGTCCCTTTTCTTTTAATGACCTGTTCATTAATGTAACCATTTGCAACTCGGCCGCCGACGACGCAAGTATGATTATGGCATTTGACGGTTAACTCACCCATTCTTAACCCACATTCTTCAACTTTCAAATTTTCGTAACAACTGTTCATAAATAGGTTGAACAGCCATGGGGAAGCTACACGGCCCTATCTGACACCTTTATGGATGCCAAAACAGCCCGAGTAGGCCCCGTTGATCTTCACACAAGCACTGGAGTCCCTATACAGAGACTTCAATGCTTGTATCAACCCAGCGCTCAACCCAAATGAGTTCAGTGGTTTGGCATAACACATCCCTCTTCACTCTGTCATAAGCGTTTTCCAAGTCCACGAAAGCACAAAAAACTTTTTGGTTTTTCGCCAAAAACTTCTCCATGATCATGCGCATGGAAAATACCTGATCTGTATAACCCATTGCCTTTTTAAATGCCGCTTGCACATCCCAAATGTTTTCATCAGTTTCTTTCATAATTCGTTCAGTAAGTACATTAGTATACAGTTTTAGTAATATATAAAAAAATTGTAATATATAAAGAAAATACTAGCTCTTTGGAGGCTAGTAACCGGCATAACTATCTTGTACTTGTTGTATGTAAATATCTACTTACTATGTTCTTCTGCATTCAGAAAATTAAACCAATTTTAAGTCCTTAAATTTGGCCTTGAGCGTGTGTAATTCCTAAGCCTATTCGACAGGGTCAAAAAATTAAATTTTTGATAAAAAATAAAAGTTGACTTCAAATAACTAAAAGAATGAAATAATTTCCATATTATAGCTTGATAAATTTGGAGTGTTAAGTTTCTTACGGCATCAATTTTAGAAGCTATTATGTGGAAAATTATTTTATTCACATTAGTTTTTTGAAGTCTCAGAACTCAGGTTTTTATTTTTATTCTAAATTTAATTTTAGGTATGTTTGTATTAATTGTGAAATGGGGGCTAAATAGTATTAATTTTGTTATAGAAAAAGAGAAGGTCGTTTGAAAGCTGCTTTTAATTTGGTCACACGTGGAATAACCAACTTAGTGGTTATTGGTGGTGATGGCTCCCTCACTGGAGCAAATCTCTTCCGTCAAGAATGGTCAAGTTTACTGGATGAGTTACTTGAAAATAATAAAATTACAAAAGACCAAAGAGAGAAATATAAATATTTGCATATTGCTGGCATGGTAGGTTTATTAATTGTGTATTCAATTCATTAGTAGCTAAATACAAATTTAGTATCAAACCCAGTATATTTTATTTTCTTTTTGTTTTGAAAATTAATTGAATAACGATAAAGATTTCATGTTAATATGAACGGCCCGATGTGCCATATTATGTTGGCAGTTATGTAATTTTAACATCTCTCCCTATGAGTGTCGTGGGAAACAAGGAACGAATGGCGGAACAATCAACCACTGTTGAACATAGGCCTCCACTCATCTTCTCCCTCTGTCTGCCACAAATCATGGCCCTGAGACCCCTAAATCCAACAACTTCATCTCTCACCAGGTCATCACTCCATAATTCTATATTTGATCAAAATATCAGTTGCAAAAAATATGAGATGCAGGATTATAGAAGCCACGTGTCTTGTGGTGAAATCGTCAATCTTCACCTATAATAGCAATCAAGGGCAAACCATCACATGTTAGGCTTCTGAAACGCATGGCCTCCAGCCTTCTGTTTCCACTTGCCATATTGACAGTCATGGTAGCTGGTTGTGTTAAAAATCTCTGGAAGAGGGCGAAATACAACGCAATACTGAACCTGGTGACATGATGGGCAGACTTTGAGCAATACAAGTCTTTAATATTGTATTGTTATCATAGTAGAATTATTGTAAGAACATCAGGACATGCTGAGCAGCTTTATTGAATCCTCCATACGTGATTGAATGCATATCAATTTAAACCAGACAAAAGTCATGTTTAATGGCCACATCATACCAGCGCCATTACTGTTACTATCTACGATGAGATTTTTGAAGTAATCTATGCTTGGTGTACGTGGCAGAGCCAAGCTGCAGCTATATTATGGTTGTAGCACGAATTGGTCGGCTCGACCGGGATAGTACCTTTTGTCTTTAGTCTTTGCGTAACAAAGTCTCAGATTCGGGGCGACTAAATCTAATCCAGTTCAATCCCCAGAAGACTCAAGTTTGCGGGTTTACAGAGCTAAAAAGAAACCCTTTGTCGTATCTCCTCAGTTTCAAGGCACTCAAGGAGACAGTATTTCATGCCGCCACATCGCTTGCAACTTTACAAAGGGCAAGTTCGGCCCCACATGGAATACTGTTCTCATCTGTGGCCTGGAACACCCCAGTGCCAGCTGCCAGCTCCTTCCACTTGACCGCATCCAGCACAGAGTGGTTCCTATCGTCGACGACCGAGTTCTTTCTGATCGGCTCGATTCACTGGCGCTACGTAGGGATGTTGCATCCCTTTGCATTTTCTATCGCATCTACCACGGGGAATGCCCTGAGAAATTGTTCGGATTAATCCCAGCCGCCAAATTTCACGAACGCACAATGCGGCAAAATTCACGATACCATCCTCACCATCTGGGTGCTTGGCGGTCCACCACTGTGCGTTTTACTAGGAGTTTTCTTCCTGGTACAACTTATGGTATTATTTACCACCGGTGATTTTTCCGGACCCATACGACTTAGGGACCTTCAGGAAAAGAGCTTACTACTTTTTAAAAGGCCGATAACGCACTTGCAATCCTCCTGGTGTTGCGGTTGTTTATGGGCGGCGGTAGTCACTTACCATCAGGTGAGCCGCATGCTCGTTTGCCCCCCTCTTCTATGATACCACGCTCTCAAAGAATACCAGCGTAAAATATCAGCTTAATGCTTCTGTGTTTCGTATGGTGAGAGTAGAGAACCGGAGACCTTTTTTCTGGAAACGACGCATTCCATCTTAGTCCTCAGGGGTGACAACGCATTTGCATTACGATTAATGTAGATGTACATGAGCCACATCATCCACTTACCTTCACGTGGACTGTGTGCTCGTTTGTCATCCATATTATATAAAAAAGTGTAATTAGGTAGAAACAGTCAATAGGAGGATTCAGTACAGCTGGACAGCATTTAAGCATTTTCGTTGGTTCTTTTTGCTACGCGTACTGCAATTCTTGATGAAGAGTTTTCGACCATATTATGGCAACGAAACTTGATCATTAGTGGTATAATTACTCCATAAACTCAAAGTCACTAACTTGCTAACCGAACAATAGATAGAGCAACTTAATTTACAAGATTAGTATTGAAGAAACGCTTCGTTTTATATATAGACATTTTTAATAATCTTAGTTATTATAAAAACTTGGTTACTTTTAATATTACTTACATTATTTCTAGGTAGGTTCCATTGATAACGATTTCTGTGGCACAGATATGACAATAGGCACTGACTCTGCCTTGCATCGTATTATAGAAGCTATTGATGCTATAGTAAGCACAGCGTATTCCCATCAGAGAACATTTATTATGGAAGTCATGGGAAGGCATTGTGGGTAAGTTAAAAAATATCTATATTATAGTAATTAAATACCAACTATTAATTTTACTCGTATGACTCTGAATACAAAGAAATATCTAAAATTAAAACTTATATTTAATTTATTGACATAGATATCTGGCTGTGGTCGCAGCCTTAGCATCAGAAGCAGACTATGTATTTATTCCTGAGGCACCACCTTCCGTTGACTGGAAAGATAAACTTTGTGATAAATTAGAACAGGCAAGCAACGCTAGCGAATTTGTGCCCTGATCTATTTTTGTTGTAAACCTAATTATAACCCATGCAGATCCTATATGGTTTTATCTTCCTAACTTAAACATCCTTTTAGTTTTCTTGCAGTCTACACCGCACTCTGTACGGAAGCTACTTATAGTTTTATTTGCGAAGACCCAGCGCCTCTCAATTGGGAAAAAAAATTATGTACTAAGATAGCTGAGGCAAGAAATTGAAACCTTATTTATTTTAATGGGAGCAGGATCACTGTTACATGTTTACCCACCTTAATTTTGGTGTAGTCTAAAACATTTGTGGTATCTTTTAATTGTAGACTTAATAAACCCGAAACCTTTTTGATCCATAACTTTATCTTCTCCTTCATTTACACCTTTTAATTGGGTTTCATATGCATGGATCATTATGTTCGGATGCTGCTTGTTGCAGTTATCTGGCATTAGTGGCCGCTCTGGCGAGCGAAGCTGATCAAGTATTCATTCCTGAAGACCCTGTTCCCAATAATTGGGTTGAAAAGCTTTGCAAAAGATTACAGCAGGTACGCAGCTTCAGTTGAGCGGCACTGTGTAACTTATAACACACAATCATAACCAAATATTTTGTGACATTACTTTGATATTCTTATTATATTATGTAGATATTGTAATAAGCTAAAAACAAAGTTGTTGCCAAATATTCCACTTAAACTAGATTAGACTCCAAATAAAACCACAAATAATATTTATTACCTTTTTTTTCTTTAAAATTATGTCCAGTGTTTTTCTTTTCAGCTGTGAAATTACTTAGTGCTCTTGCAGCTTCAATTGTGTGTTGTTTGTCAGACTTTATTTCAATCAAATGCTTCTTTGGTGATGTTTTTTGCCTTGCTAAATTTGGTATTATATAGGGGTTTATGGGTGTAGCACAGTTAAATACGTACTGTTTTTAAGAATAGTAATTTCCTAATTGAAAATCCTTAGTGTTTGCTTTATAATAAACGCTTGAAATGACTTGCATGATCTAATGTCGGTTGTTAATAATTTTTTATTGCTTTAAACATTTATATTATGAGTTTTGTGATACGTGTGAAATAATAATGTTTAATTTTTAATTATTATTAGGAAAGAAAGTCGGGACAGCGTCTTAACATCATCATAGTAGCGGAGGGTGCTATTGATCGTGAAGGAAAGCCGATCACCGCCGAGCTAGTAAAGAAAGTCGTTGTGGAAAATCTTCAACAGGATACTCGCATCACTGTTCTGGGTCACGTTCAGCGAGGTGGCTCACCTTCCGCCTTTGACAGGATTTTGGTAAGGATATTCAACATCTACTGCATATTTGAATTACTCTATAATTATTTAACTAATCCAGCGGTAGAATAAAAATGACTTTAAATAAGTATTATGTAATAATCTATATTGAATAAAAATCATTCCATTCTATTCTATTATATTCCCCCTTATCAAATTAATAAATAATAACAAAACTTATTATATTAATAAGTAGTAAAATCTTTGTTTAATATATAGTAATCCCAAATCCATATTTCGAGTACATGTAGGTATACGATTTCTTTTGGTATGGAAAAAGTTTATTCCTCTCGTACTGCTATGGCAGTGAAATGCAAAAAGAGGTCGAAAACCAAAATAATAAATTTAATGTATATGAAGCTTCAAAGAGAGATTGTCTGCTAATAATCGTCATCACTGTCACACGAAGACACCTTTAGAGACCATTTTAAAATAAAGTGTTAAAAATTTTGTGCTTGAATTGTTATTATGAGTTGTTAAATCTCTATCTGATGCTGTCAAACCTCAGAGGCAGGTCTGAAGCGCTAGTAATCTATCTCTATTAGTATTAATACAGTCAATTTATCCATTTTATAAAACATACACAGCCAACATGTCAACAAAAAAATGCGTTTAGTTGCAACATTATCTATAAACTAGCTGTTCACCGCGACTTCGCCCGCGTGTGATTTAGGGTTTTAATTATGTTGCGCGGAACCCTAATTCTTTTTCTAAAATATAAGTAGCCTAAGTTACTCCTTATAACATCAGCTATCTGCCAATGAAAGTCCCGTCGAAATCGGTCCAGTCGTTTCTGAGATTTGCCGGAACAAACAGACAGACAGACCGACAGACAGAGACAAAAATTTTAAAAATTGTGTTTTTGTTATAAGTACCGTATATACTTTTATATGCATTTAGTAAAAAGCTGTTATTGTAATATTACAAACAGAGACTTCAATTTTATTTATTTGTATAGATAAAAAGTCGAAGAACAATGTTAAATATGTTTTCATTTCAGCTAACATGTTAATTAATTTTTGATCATAAAAATAAATAAAATAATATTGAATATTATCACGACGAACGTGCGCCGCCGAGACACAAAATACCAAAAGTTAATTATAACACTGATACATAATAAATACTTTTAATATTTACACAAATAAATAAAATTGAAGCGTCTGTTTGTAATGTCAAAATAACAGCTTTTTACTAAATGGATATGAAAGTATATACGATACTTGTAACGAAAACACAACTTTTAAATTTTTTGTCTGTCTGTCTATTTGTTCCGGCTAATCTCCGAAACGGCTGGAGCGATTTCGACGGGACTTTCACTGGCAGATAGCTGATGTTATAAGGAGTAACTTAGGCTACTTATATTTGAGAAAAATAATTAGGGTTCCGCGCAACATAATTAAAACCCAAAATTACACGCCGGCGAAGTTGCGGGGAACAGCTAGTATAATATAAGTGGTGGGAAGATGGCACGAATCACTAATATTCACAGTATAGCTTGCATTTGACATTTATTTTTATTAATACTGAGGCCATACACATAAGTTAAGTAAGGTTTCTACCAGGGTTGCCGTATGGGAGCAGAGGCTGTGATGGCACTGATGGAAGCAACTCCCGAAACGGAGTCGTGTGTCGTGTCTTTGGACGGCAACCAAGCTGTACGTTTGCCGCTTATGGAGTGTGTACGCCGTACTAAAGCTGTTTCTCAGGTATGCTAAGTTGATTTCTTTTATAGGATAGGGCGACAAAAGAGCACACAGTCCACCTGATAGTAAGTGGTTGCTGTGACCCATAGACATCTACGTCTATCCTCTATAAAGAATCAAAAAAAATGCAGATGCGTTGTCACCCGTGAGGACTAAGATGGAATGCTTCTTTTCCAGTAAAAAGGGTCTCCGGTTCTTTACATTCATCATACGAAACACAGCAGCATTGAGTTGTTATTTCATGCTGGTACTCTGTGAGAGCGTGGTCCTTTCCCGGTTGAGCCCATCCATTCGTGCTACAACTATACTACTAATATAGCTGCAGCATGCCTCTACTACGTATAAATGATACTGTGTTGAAATTATTTTTGGTAACTTATTTGAGGACTCAAGCAGAATTGACTTTTTTTACTATTACAAGCAAGTACTTGACTTCTATCCCACCTGATGGTAAGCGATGATGCAAGTGAAGATGATAAAGTGCACTGACTTGCTCAACAAAAGCCTATTTACTCATCCCTTGTAGACACTCAGATTATAATCGTATGGAAAGAGAGGTTGCTGTACGCATCGTGAATTACGAAGCAAATCGTTTGGTTCGAATGTGTGGTATGTCGACAACAAGTTAGTGCGGACCGGCAAAGCCGACTTCTTTTAATAAAGGATGGTACAAAGACAGTCTGGCTTTGATATGTGGTATCCCACTCATAAATTTGTTAATCGCAATTTCAACTGCCGATATTTTGCTTCCTGAAGAGAGGATTTTAAAACAACTTTAACCTATAAGTACAGCAATACTATAAGTGTTAGCGATTTTATATTATTACATATTGCTGCAGCATATGATGGAAAAATATTACAGGCCTTACATGTGTTGAAACAGCTATATTAGTTTATTTTGATTATTACCATAGCATAATGTCTTAAGGAATCTTGCTATAATCGAATGACGTGCAGTTTCGTTGTCACTTGGAAGAGAAGGCCAAATTGGCCCCTAAAAAGCTTGGCGTGCTCAGCAGTTTGGAACAGAATTTCATGTCGGCACACCGCCTGCAACTTTACAAGGCGCAGGCTCGGCCGCACATGGAATACTGTTCCCGTCTCTGGGCAGGGGCTCCCCAGTGCCAGCTCCTTCCATTTGATCGCATCCAGCGCAGAACGGTTCGAATCGTCGGCGACCGAGCTCTTTCTAGTCGGCTTGACTCATTGCCGCTGCAAAGAGATGTTGCATCTCTTTGCATATTCTATCGTATCTACCACGGCGAGTGCTCAGAGGAATTGTTCGGACTAATTCCAGCACCTTAATTTCACCATCTAACATCCCGACAGAACTCGAGATACTATTCCGTACCATCTGGATAATTGACGGTCCACTACTGTGCGATTTAGAAGAAGTTTTCTTCCTGGAACAATTTGTGCCAGGAAGAAACTTGTGGAATCGAATACCACCAGCAGTTTTCCGGACCGATACGATTTAGGGACCTTCAAGAAAAAAGCCTACTTTTTTTTAAAAGGCCGGCAACGCATCTGCAATTCCCCTGGTGCTGCAATTATTCATGGGCGGCGGTAGTCACTTACCATCAGGTGAGTCGTATGCTCCCTCTCATATAAAAAATGGGGTAATGCGACTGACATTGAAACTATCTTTGTTTAGCAGCAGACAGCCATAAGAGCAATTTATAATAACCTAAAGAAATAAATATATTAACTTTGGCCTCTCAGTATATTTACGAAATTTCAGTACGAGTATGTACACAAAAACAAAAATTGTTTTATTAAAAATAGTGATGTACATTCTGTTTATACTAAGAACAAGCACAAGTTAGTTATACCAGCTACTCAATTACAAAGAGTCGGTAACTCCTTAATGGGGCAATGTATATGCGTTTACAACAAAGTCCCAGAAAGAATTATCTATCAAAAAGTTAAAAAAAAATTGTTAAGCAAAAATTGTTAAGGTTTATTACGCTACTAAAGAGTATATTAGACTTAGAGCATATAGAGCCGTGGTAGCTCAGATGGTTGGCGCTCACGGTAAATTTCACAGTACGCGAGCAGCCCGGCAGCGCGACGGACTCTTCCTTGCCTTAAGACCCTCTCAGAAATGAGAGGAGGCCAGTGCCCAGCAGTGGCAGGTATATAGTAGTATATAGCCTATGGGCTGTAACTAAAGAGTACATGATTGATAATAACCCCTGGGAATAAGGTAATCGCTACCATGCTGTTTTTTAAATTATTTCATATTAATTGTATAAAATATTACCTTGCAAATAAAAAAAAAAAATTAAGCAATAATTTAGTAAGCAATTGTTTAGTAAGGGCTATTATATATTATTGATAATCTCCCCCGGAAATAAGGTGAAGGCTACCATACGTATTGTTTTTAAATTATTTCATACTAATTGTATAAAATATTTCTTTTTCAAAAGACACACAGATAAAATATTTTTTCCGAACCAGTGGTACAGCTTAAATGACTTTCAGTATCTATTCTTGTAATTTATATTGAATAAAAATGATTCTGTTTTATGCGTAGGCGATGGCGGATAAGAATTTCGACCTTGCGGTACAACTGCGCGGTCGCAGTTTTGCTCGCAACTTAGAGACGTACAAAATGCTGACACGTTTGAAGCCACCTAAGGGAGCTTTCGATGAATCTGGTAAACCTTCCGTAAGTAGCGATTTTATTTCAAATACATTTAAAAACATTAATTGTGCTAATGATCTACTACCTACCTATCCTCAACTGTCATCATCTTGTGTTTTATGTTTTTAATTTATATATAATATTTTAACAATGAAGTAAATAACATATATTTCCACACACACGCACACGCGCACGCGCTCACACACACACACACACACACACACACACACACACACACACACACACACACACACACACACGCACGCACGCACGCACGCACGCACGCACGCACGCACGCACGCAGTGTGTGAGTGTGTGTGTGTGTATATTTATATTTACTATTTCCCATTCGTTGTAAGCGCAAAAGATTGTCTGGAAGAAATCGCTTCCAGAGCGATAATACCGTCTGTTTTACTTTCTATATATTATATAGGTCATTTTGTTTTGTTTTAATATGTATTGGTGTACAATAAAGCATATATTGATAGTTTGATTGAGATAATATATTAGTTTATAAAATAGGAGGCCTTACTTAATTAGGTCTAATCTAAAACAAAAGTCTAAAAATGTTGTGTAATGGCAGCATAAGAGGATTTATCATCTCATTATAATGTAGTATGTGATAACATTAGACAGTGGAAATGCAAGGAAATTTCAGTACAATTTTGTGGCCAAAAGCTAAAAACCGGTCAATTGCGAGTCAGACTCGCGCATGAAGGGTTCCGTACATGGCTGTTTTTTTATTATTTGTTGTTATAGCGGCAACAGAAATACACATTCTGTGAAAATTTCAACTGCCTACGTATTACGAATCATAAGATACAGCCCGCTGACAGACGAACGGACGGACAGCGGAGGCTTAGTATTAGGGTCCCGTTGGTTACCCTTCGAGTACGGAACCCTAAAAATGGGTGAAATAACTGTGTTGGATATAGATTGTTGGCCACCTTTGGATATAGATCAATATACACGTCAATTTTTTGTCCGATCTGCCACTATTTACCACGCCACGAAGCGCACTTTCGTAACCCTCTAAATTAGGCCGCTTCACATCACCCGTTTGTGAAATCAAGGTGGGAGAATTACTTTCATGGCTGGGCGTCCGTCTGTGTAGACACCATCCTCTTACCTATTTCTGGCGCAAGTAGTGAATTCTTGAAGGGTATGAAGAGCCAGAATAATAACAGGCTGTAAGGCGTCATGGTCCTCGGAGGTGACAACACATCTGTAGGCTTCCTTCTATGAAATTTGTTGTAGGTGTCCATGTTTTGCAGTAGCGACTTGCCATCAAGTGGAGTGTAAGTTTTTTTTTTTTAATATAGTATAGTGTGACAAACGAGCACACAATCCACCTGATGCTAAGTGGTTGCTGTGACCCATAGACATCTACATTTATCCTCAATAAGGAATCAAAATGTATGTAGATGCGTCGTCACCCGCGAGGAATATCTGCTCGGGAGAACTAAAATGGAATGCCTCTGTTCCAGTTAAATGGGTCTCCGGTTCTCTACACTCACCATTCGTATGGTGAGTGTAGAGAACCGGAGACCCACAGCAGTGTCAAGCTGCCATTTTACGTTGGTATTCTGCGAGTGCGTGGTCCTTCCCCGGTCGAGCCGACCCATTCGTGCTACAACTATACTACTAATATAGCTGCAACATAGCTCGACCACGTATTAACCACGTTTGTTACTGTGTACAGTTTTGTAAAAAAAAGAGTTCCGCATTCGCGGGATTTATATAATATACTAGCTGGCCAGGCAGACGTTGTTCAACCCTTTTCGACGACCCTTCATATAAAAAATCCTTAAATTCGTAATAAAAAAATATTGTGTCACTTCTAAAAACCATCCTATCTCTCAAGTTGGACCAAACTGCACAGAGCGTGCAAATTTCATTGAAATCAGTTCAGTAGTTTAGGAGTTCATCGCCGACAAACAATGTGATACGTAATTTTTATATCTAAAGATTATTAGTTATATTCTCCTTATATCTTGTACGCCAGGAATATAATACCCATATTGGAGTATGGTGCATAGGTGTTATTATCCTTTGCAGTCCGGTTATTGAAAACGTCTTCCAATGCAGAGCTAAATAAATTTGGGAATATAATATCACCATGTTATACTTTTGTGCAGTTATATAGGTTTTATTCTCACACTCAACATTCCCTACCATTCGAACCTACAGCATACACACACATGGTAACATTTTGAGCTGGTAGGTTAGGATCGAGCTTTATGATATTTAAAACATGGAGATATATTGGACCCAGTTATCCACAGCTGGATATGGGTTTTCGTAGGGAGCTTTGCCGTAAACGTCATGCTTAACACAAGATTTCGCAAATGATCACAGTTCAAGACGTATAAAATTTCAGCATTTAATAGGTATATTAATTTAATAACAATTTATAAGTCGACATGATTTCCCGTCTTTAAAGTAATTATAAATTTTAAATATTAAAACTAAATTATTAAATTTTTTATTGAAAATAATTTCTCACTTTTTTTACGATTATGACAAACTTCGTCACAATGAGCGCTGCGTCGCTAGAATTTATGTAATATTATATTATGGCAATATTGTATTTCGGTTTATAAATAGATACATAATATCGCGTTTTGGTATCATTTGAACATAAAATATTCATTACTTATGAATATTTTATGTTTACCATCTCAATATTTAAATTATGACAATGATGACTTAAAAGTTAAATCTTTCAGGTTACTAAAATTGAGCTAGTTTATAAGTTTTTATTTACCTGCATAAAGGAATACTGACTTCGAAGTTGTCTAGTTATTTCAAAATTCACTGCAATCTTGTAAACACAACAAACAATTAATGTCTAAATAATATGGCTGCATTTCTTCTATTTTACTAAATGGTGCATTTGTGCCATTCTAGGAAGGATATACACTGGCGGTGATGCATGTTGGTGCGCCGGCTTGTGGCATGAACGCGGCCGTGCGCTCGTTCGTGCGAAACTGTATCTACCGTGGTGATACTGTCCTGGGCATACACGACGGTATGGAGGGATTTATCAGTGGAAACATTGTCAAAATGGATTGGTAAATGTTCTTTTCTTATTTCAAAAATTTATTCCGTATCGATGTGTGGGCCACACAGAAAATTTTGCGAATTAAAAAAAATATATATGGTTAAAATTATTTCTTAAATCTTTTCGAAGAACTCTCCACTAGCATCTAAAGTTCATGCGTCTGAACGAATTTTCGAAATATTTTTTCTCGTCCGCTTTAGACACCTCTTCTGCGGCCTGTTCGTACTCTGCTAGCGCATCTTCCTGCGATAAAAGCTGTATCTCCTTCAGCTGATTTTTTATTTTAAGGAATCACAACGGTGACAAATCAAGGCTGTAACGTTTTTATGTCCAGGAAGTTCCTCATTCTAAGTGCAGTGTCGCGGGCGCGTTATCATGGTGAAGTAATAGCCACGTGTTTGATCCCTTGTTGCTCACAGCAGTGAACACTTCCATTTGGTAGTATGCCATTCATCATTGATGCTACTTCCACTTCTAGAAATTTGATATTGGAAACCGGAACAGTCGTATTTTTTTTTGCTTGTAAATAATCTTATTTACGAAATACATTATAATTGGCCAGTGTCTTAAACAATTTTATTTCCCAAAACTTTCCGCGTGGCCTGTCCGATTATTATATTACATAATGGATATTATTAAAGTCACATTAACAGAAATGATATAGGAAGTAATGTATATTTTACCTCTATTTATCGTTTACTAATAACACTATTATATGCACATATTTTTATGAATGTACTTTTTTATAAATAATCATATTTCATCATACTAAATTTACAACACAGTGAAGAAAACTAATAAAAAATATATTTTGGGCGTAATATAGTTACGAGATCCAGTTAGGTACATGTTGCATCTCATTCGCGTAAGAACCATCCAAGAAAACATTAGGTACTATTACTATGAAAGTATTTTTATTACAATTATTATGGGCCATACAAAATACTTGTTCGAGTCACGGGGTTGTTAATCTGGAGGTAGCCGTGGTTAACTATGACATTGGGACGTCATACACCTCAGTCCCCCCTGTGACCGAGGGTGCTGGAAAGTGCTCGAAACGTGGGGAATATAAAATAAGTTAATATACGCGATAAAATCCGTAAGATTAGTTTTATTTAAATGTGTAGTGTTCGCGTAAATATAAGAAATCATTATAAAATGTTTTTTTCATTCACAGTACCTATCGAATGGCATAAGATTTATTCCACTCCTTTTATAATAAGTTATAGTAAAACAAATGTATGACAATTTTCGATATTCATGTATTCATTTAATAGACGGCTCCGTGGCGCAGTGGCGTAGCAATCAGTTGTGGCGCTGGGGGCCGCGGGTTCGAATCCCGCTCGGAACGAGTATTTATATGGCCTACAAATAATTGTTCCGGGTCTGGATCTTTGTCCTTGTGCAATATATGTTTGTAAACTGCCTCCACGATACAGCAGAAAATCCTAGTGTGGGGGTAACGTTTTTTAAGATAGAAAAAAAAATAAAGAAATTCATTTAATAATAATATAATATCAAATTCATATTTTAGTTTTAGTTGACAAATTTTATATATATTTGTATATATGATTTATACTTAACAACTAGATAGGCATAAAATGTTTTTTTTAAAGGTCGGATGTTACTGGTTGGGTGGCACAAGGTGGTGCCTTCTTAGGAACAAAACGCACATTGCCTGGCGATAAAAAAGGAGAAATCGCTGCACGTATTAAGCAATTCAATATTCAAGGCCTACTTATTATCGGTGGTTTCGAGGTAATTATTCAGTTTTTTTTTAAATTAGAACTTTACCAAGTCGACGAACTCCTCCATATGAAAGGAGTGGTCATAGAAGCCTGGCAAAGACGATCAGGACCGGCACAATGCCACCGTTGCCAGGCTTTCGGTACAATTTACGAGATGAGTGTGAGGCGAGATGCAAGGAGAAAGTTAGTGTACGAAACAAATCTAATGGAAGTCCTTCTAATACTGCTTTTTTTGTAAAGAAATTACAAAATTATGTATAAGCAGAATTACGGAAGTTATGTGTGTGTAATAATGAGTCATGCATTTATTTACTATTGTGCGGTAACCCGTACAGGGCCTGTGTATAGGAAAAATTTGCATTTTTGAGTAGTTCAAAAAAATCATAATATTACTATTTAATTTTGTTTCCATTATCTAAACATTACAATTAATTGACTTATTTATTTAATGAAAGCATAAATCTTTTTTTTTAGGCGTATCAAGCAGGCTTAGAGCTTTACGAGTCCCGCTCGCAGTTCCCCGAGTTCTGCATACCACTGGTAGTGATCCCTTCGACTATCAGTAACAACGTGCCCGGGACAGACTTCTCACTCGGCGCTGATACGGCTTTGAATGAAATCACCGAAATTTGCGACCGTATTAGACAGTCCGCACAGGTAATATTAACTACATACAGCAATATCGTACAAAAAAAATAGCCATGGATTATTTTAGAGGATAACCCGTGAAAATATTTGTAATATTTTCAGGGAACTAAGCGTCGTGTCTTCGTGATAGAGACGATGGGAGGCTATTGCGGTTACTTAGCTACCTTGGCTGGTAAGTATTTTTCTTATTCGCATAAAACGCCATTGATTTTAATTTTTGTTAATCATTAGTAGTAATAACAACAATTTTATTGATTATCTTGTAGTATAATATGTTATTTCACAGGTATGCGATAGATACACTTTCAGCTCTAGCCATCGATTCGCAATCCGATCTATTGATTCAAACAAAAGGTCTTTCCCAGAGTCCTCTAAGATATGTGCTTATGCTAATCCCGACGGTTACGGTCCCTACTAATATGTGCAAATTATAAATTAAGTACTGTTGTGCTTCTGTGCCTGAAATCGAACCAAAGCTAAGCCTAACAATGACACTTGTCAAAAACATGTTTTTAACAAGCAAGTGTTGGCTTGGACTATTAAAGGTTAGTTGGTTATCAATCTGGTTCAATCCTGACATTGCTAACTAACCACCCTCAGATCTGATTACATGAACGTGTTAAATTTATTAAAATGTAGTCACAAGAAAAAAAAAGCTTTAGAATATTACATTTTATAACATTAATGTTAGGTTCGCCGGAAGCTGACAAGTGGACGGCGTCAGTTATTTTTTTTTTATAGGATGGAGTGACAAACGAGCACACAGTCCACCTGATGGTAAGTAGTTGCAGTGGCCCATAGACATTTACATCTATCCTCGATTACGAATCAAAATGCAGATGCGTTGACACCCGTCAGGACTAAGATGGAATGCCTCATTTCCAGTAAAAAGGGTCTCCGGTTTTCTACACTCATCACACGAAACACAGCAGCGTCAAGCTGCCATTTTACGCTGGTATTCTGTGAGAGCGTAATCCTTCCCCGGTCGAGCCGACCCATTCGTGCTACAACTATACTACTAATATAGCTGCACCATGGCTCTACCACGTAAAAATCACCACTAATTATTTAATTGTCAATGTGTATTCTTATTAAATTATGTTATAAATCTAATAAATGTAAGTAATTATTTAAGTAATTAGTCGGCACTTAATTATTCGATAAGCTCGTGAACCAAGAACCGGAAGTAGATAACATAATACAAACTTAATATTATGTATCGTAAACACTTAACAGTCTTGTTTTGTGGGTAGGTCGCATAATAAAGTATGTTAACTACCTTACAAACTATATAGTTTTTTAAATTACCTACCCATAACAACCTTTATCGTCTGTATATTTTACACGTCTATACGTCTCTCTATCTTCTATTATACGTCTGTACATTAGAACAATCTGATTGATGATTGATGATGAGTCTTCATAGCACTATAATATTACCAGGCTGCCACCGAAAATTTCTTGGCAGAAAATCCAATAAATGATTCTGCTTTCTGCTCAACCCGGGATTCGACCTCGAGACATGATTAGCAGTCGCGCTGGTGACCTATAGACCAACGAGGTAGACAGGAAGTTGGCGGTGTTTCACCCCTGTGCATTGGAAAACACGTAATGAAGTTGGTCCTGTGCTTGAATTCTTTCCAGTCGTATAAGTTATCCGGCCCATTGGACCATGGGGGAATAGAGAGTGCACCTGTGTTTGTGCACACACTCGTGCACTATAATTCTGTCCTCCACAGATGGCTAGTGTCTGTTGAGTCTGGCCGCCGTGACCGAACTTTGGTCTGGGGTATTTCATTGTTATAATTCATCTTTATATATAAAAATTATGTGTCACTATGTTTGTCTGCGATGAACTCCTAAACTACTGAATTCAATGAAATTTCGCACACTGTGTGAAGTTTTGTCCAACTTGAGAGTTAGGATAGTTTTTATCCCGATAAGTGACACTCAATATTTTTTTATTACGACTTTAAGGATTTTTTATAGGAAGGGTCGTCAGAAAGGGCAGAAAAACGTCTGCCTGGTCAGCTAGTATTATATTATAATATATAAATTATAATATCATTATTGTAATTTATTATTATTAATAACTTTCGATAGTACTCAGAAATCGTCGTATCATTGAATATATACTGTCTTCTTGTGAAAGGTTTGGCTGGCGGTGCCGACGCAGCGTACATTTACGAAGAGAAATTCTCTATTAAGGATCTGCAGCAAGACGTGTACCACATGGCATCGAAGATGACTGGCGGCATACAGCGGGGTCTCATCCTCCGTAATGAAAAAGCTAACGACAACTATAACACAGAGTTCATTTACCGTTTGTACTCGGAGGAGGGGAAGGGCCTCTTCACTGCTAGAATGAATGTTCTTGGTGAGTGTTTTTTTTTTATAGCAGAGGCGTAAACGAGCATGCGGCTCACCTAATGGTAAGTGACTACCATCGCCCATAAACAATTGCAACACCAGGGGAATTACAGATGCATTGCCGGCCTTTTAAAAAAGAGTAAGCTCTTTTCTTGAAGTAGGGACCTTCATTCGTATCGGTCCGGAAAAAGTTCTGCTGGTTGTCAAATCCACAAGAAAGTTGTGCGAGGTAATTCTTCTAAATCGCACAGTGGTGGACCGCCAACCAGCCAGATGATATGCATGGTATCGCGAGTATTGTCGCGATGTGCGATGGTGAAATTGAGCGGCTGGAATTAGTCCAAAAAATTCCTCAGAGCACTCCCCGTGGTAGATGCGATAAAATACGCAAAGAGATGCAACATATCTTCGCAGAGCCAGTGAGTGAAGCCGATCGGAAGGAATTCGGTCGTCGACGATTCGAGCTGCTCTGCGTTGGATGCGGTCAAGTGGAAGGAGCTGGCACTGGGGAGCCCCTGTCCAGAGATAGGAATAGTTTTCCATGTGAGGCCGAACCTGCGCCTTGTAAAGTTGCAAGCGGTGTGCCGGCTTTTTAGGGGCCAATTTGGCCTTCTCTTGCAAGTGACCACGAAACTGCACATCACTCGATATGTTGACACCGAGGATTCCAATACTGGCTGAGGCAACAAGGGGAGCCTTGAAACTGAGGAGATACGACAAACGCGTTTTTTTTTTGCGGTAAACACGCGAACTTGTTTCTTCTGGGGATTAAACAGGACTAGATTTAGTCGCCCCCAATCCGGGGCTTTGTTCAACAAAGACTCGACTTCAGACACAAGTTTGTTTTTATGATAAATCAATCACGTTATTATTTGTTTAAATAAAAAAAATGCGTGAGTGTCGTGGAACACTCGTTTGGAACGAAGTTCCTTGCGTAGTATATTATTATTGATAAACGTAGGTATTATATTATTGATTAACAAATACAAATAAATGAATTTCTAGCGTCCATTAAAATGAAGCGTCATTTGAAATAAAATAATAAAATATTTCTTTCATGGTAAGATAAGAAAAAGTGCGAGGGAGATGGATATTATTCCATCTCACTTCCTTATTTTGCCGCCAAGGCCGTCTACACTATGACACAAGGGGTAGTGACGAAAAAATCTTACACGTTTTGTCGCCTAGCTCCCATCCGCCAAACCCATACCGTCCGATAAGGAACTTCGTTCCAATTAAACATTATTTAATTTGACATAGTGATAAGGGAACGAAGATGACCCTTGACATTTTTAACAACATGCATGAATTACGTGACATTGTCTTTAAGATAATGAACCCTCGGGTATATTACCGCAATTCTTTTGTTACTTTATATTTCGTTTAATTTATATATATTACTATCGAATAGCCCCGGCTTCTCCTGTGTTCGAATGCAGTATCATTTAGATATTTGTAAATTATTATCTGTGATCATTTATTCAATAATTTAAAAAATCTGTAGTTTTTCGGATAAAATATAGCCTAGATTACTCCTAGCATTGTTCTCTATTAATTTGTTCATGAAGTTTCATTACAAACGGTTCGGCCTTTCTGCAGATTAGCCCGAAAAGACAGATTAAATATTTAAAAATTGTTATTCACGTCTTGGTGACATGCAAATTATTCCTTAAGCTCGATAAAATGCAGCTATTTCGATATTACAGACAGACACTTCAATTTTATTTCTATGTATAGATGACGGCTACAATGAACTCTAAAAACTATTTTTGTTGTCTATTGGATGACTCAATATTTTGAAGCGTTTTTCTTGTACCACCTATTTCTAATTTTTTGTCTATATGTAACATTTTCCGTACAATCTTCCAGGTCACATGCAGCAAGGTGGTTCACCGACACCTTTCGATCGCAACATGGGCACCAAGATGGCGGCCAAATGCCTGCACTGGCTAGTCGAAAACATTCAGAAGGGGTCAGCCAACACACCTGACTCTGCCTGCTTGCTCGGAGTAGTTAAACGTCAATACAAGTTTACACCACTTGAAGATCTAAAATCGCAAACTAACTTTGCGTAAGTTTTTTTTTTAACAATCATAGCATGATATACAAATTTACTCCCACTTTGTCATGCCCATCTACCAATGCACCAAATGGTTAAGTCGTTATAACCTATGAGTACAGGTAGACAGTTCTAAAAAAGTACTGCAGCTAATGGTCACCTGTAAACAATTTCCTTTAATTGTACCGACTCTTACACCTCATAATGGAATAGAAAAATTGGTTCACTTCTGTTTTGTGGTAGAATTGGGTTTTAAAATATGTATCTAATTTATCCAGAGGGTTATGCTTGAAGTTTCTCTTCGTGATAGACTTAGATAAGAGAGGATATCCGCAGTAGAAGAGAGTTACCGATATTGCGCAACGGATCAGTAAGTTGAAGTGGCAATGGGCCGGCTATATAGCTCGAAAAACTGACAACCGATGGGGAAGAAAGATCCCGAGTGACAAACTCGTATTGGTAAGCAAAGTGTAGGGTGGCCTAACGTAAAGATAGAAGAGCAAAACATTACACTCTCGAAGTAACCTTTTTATTTTGAAAGATGCGTTATCAGAGACACCTTAAAACTATAACTTGTTGTACGCCACTTGCAACTCAAAATCACTAGTATTTGTTTGCTAAACTTAGATCATTAAAAACTAAGGAGATTTACTAAGAATGCGTGAAGTTTTCATATAAGTAAAATGAATGGACGTCAAACCCTCGTTGCGGCGGGGAGCAAATCTTAGCTTAAAAGGCTATTCCCTCCTGCCTTTCAGATCGCACATACACTGTAATAGAACAGAAACACGAACACTGTCAAATTGTTTCACTCCTAATAAATGCATTACGAATTTAAATAAAACTAATTTTACGGAAATTAATAATTTTTAATCTGGAGGTAGATGTGCTTAACTATGACATTGGGACGTCATACACCTCAGTCCCCCCCGTGACCATGGGTGCTGTAACGTGCTCGAAACGTCGGGAATATAAAATAAGTTAATATACGCGATAAAATCCGTAAAATTAGTTTTATTTAAATGTGTAGTGTTCGCGTAAATATAAGAAATCATTATGCATTACGAATGACAAAGCAAGGTGGCATTGTCGTCTAAGATGGTCTATTTGTTGATTATGTTTATAACATAAAAGCATTTTAAAAACTTTAAAACACATTTTATTTATTTTCCTTTCAGGCAGAGAGTGCCCAAACAGCAATGGTGGATGAAATTGCGTCCCTTGCTCCGTATTTTGGCTAAGCACGACTCTACTTACGAAGAAGAGGGCATGTACATGACGGTCGAACAAGGAGAAATTGACTCTGAAAACGTCATATAATTTTTCGTCCAGTTTTTAAGCAGATCTCTATTAATGGCTATTAAATTTACACTTAGTCTTGGTGTTGCCATATGCCATGCCATAACGAAATTATTTACTTAATAGAATTTAGAATATTATGTTAGTAGTTAGTGATGTGCATTTTTTCATTTGTAGTCTTTTGTCGATTATAATCAAAAAGTATTGTATAGTAATATTTTTATTTAATAATTATCTTATTATTATACTATAAAGATTTTAGAATTTTTTTCAAAAATTATTATGATAAACTCTGTAGATAAAAATATTGTCTGTATATAATATTTATATATAATATTATGTGTAGTATTGTCGGTGAAGTGACAGTAATTAAAGGTGTAACAAAAACTGTAATTAAAGTTGTTTTATATACAATAATTAAAAACTGTTTGCTTCAGCTTACTCTGTTAAATAAGGTTACAAACAATGTATTAATGGTTCGTACGAATGTACTTTTTTTATTATGATTTAATTTGTTATATCCAAATAAAAACCCTTTCTTATGTTTAAAACCATATATGCAGTTTTTTTTCTAAGTAGATGACGTCACTGAATGCTTATTTTTATAGGATAGGGTGACAAACGAGCACATAGTCCACCTGATGGTAAGTGGTTGCTGTGGCCCATAGACATCTACATCTGTCCTCGTTTGCAAATCAAAATGCAGATACGTTGTCACCCGTGAGGACTAAGATGGAATGCCTCATTTCCACTAAAAAGGTCTCCGGGACTCTACACTCATCATACGAAACACAGCAGCATTAAGCTGCTATTTTACGCTGGTATTCTTTGTATGACTATTTGAATTTTTTACGAACGTATAGTGCTTGATTTAGAGTTATAGGCTAACCACGAATATCCCCCCCCCCCCCCCCAACGTCTGTTCTGCCTATTCCTGCCCAGGCCACGGATATATTTACTGGATTATAATATTTTACCCCTCTGAGCACTCCCCGTGCTGTTTAGTGGCGGTTAAGAATATCCACTACCCCATATCTTCCCGTGGGTATCGTAAGAGGCGACAGTAGGAAACAGGAAGGAGATGGGCAGCAGCATCTTCCTGATAATAGCAAACCTACAATAAAAAAACTGCGGTTGCCAACCCGCTCGCCAAGCGTGGCAACTATGGCAAATACCCCCCCCCCCCCCTCCCATGATGAGAGTAACAAAGAGACGGCCCCCAGTCCCTATTCCTGGCTACGGTGGCGACCATGGTAATGTCGGGGCAGGGGGTACTAAGCATTTCCGGTGAAGGTTCGGTTGCCACCTAAGACGACTCGACCTGGCAACATACAACGCACGCACCCTGAGGACTGACGAGAAGATTGTGGAGCTGGAAGAAGAGATAGACAAATTACGCAGGCATATTATAGGATTATCCGAGGTCCGAAGAGAGGGGAGGACACGGTAATCCTCGAATCCGGCAACTTGCTCTATCACCGGGAGGGCGACCATCTGTCCCAAGGGAGTGTCAGATTTATCGTCCACAAGTCTCTCGCTAACAACGTTGTAAAGACCGGGAGTGTGTCGACGAGGGTTGCGTACCTTATACTCAGAATCACCAAACGGTATTCGCTGAAGGTCGTACAGGTTTACGCACCAACCTCGGCACACACCGATGAGGAGGTTGAAGAAATGTACGATGATTTCTCTAGAGCTATGCATAGAGAGAACTGTGAGCTGAAAGTAGGGAAATTTGGAATAGGGCAACGGAACCCAAGGGGCCAGCAGCTGGCCGACTTCATGGAGAAAGAGGGACTCTTTATGATGAACTTTTTCTTCCAGAAGCGGCCTCACAGGAAGTGGACCTGGTCGAGCCCCGACGGTTCGACAAAAAATAAGATTGACTTCATTATGATGACCAGACGACAACTGTTCAGTGATGTCTAAATAATCGCGAGGGTGAAAACTGGTAGCGATCACCGAATGGGTAGAGCCACACTAGAGAAACCCAAACGTTAATTTGGAGAGGTCTCGTCTAATGAAGTCAACGCTCCGTCCCCGTCGTGCTCTAGTCCAAAGTCCCGAAACCTTTCACCTCGAGTTACAAAACCGTTTTCAGTGCCTAGAAGACTGCAATGAAGTGGACGATATGAATAACAAGCTTATGGAGACTTTCCATGCGGTCGGAGCTAAGTTCTGCAAGACTCGCCGCAGAAGAACACAAAAACTCTCCGATCACACTCTTAATCTCATAGCTGTTAGACGGGAGATGAAGCTACAGTCTTCAACGCATTTGACAGCATATAGGCAACTGAACAGACAGATCTCCAAATGCATGCGGCGGGACTTAAGCAACTTCAACACAGCTTGTATTGAAGAAGCGATCGAGCGGAACTAAGGCTCCAAACTCTTTGTCAGAGATCTGTCTGCCAGAAATAGCCAACTGTCAAAGCTGAAGACCGAGTGTGGCAGCAACGTTACCGGCACACCTGAGATTGTGAGTGAGATTGAGAGGCTCTATGGGCAGCTGTACACGTCATCGTTGGAGCCACACGCAAGTGTGAGTAACGATCCAAGAGCGAGTCTTGTCCGACACTATTCCGAAGATATCCCGGACGTCAGTCTGAGCGAGATTAGAATGGCTCTCCAGTACCTTAAAAACGGCAGGGCTCCAGGTGAGGATGGAATTACAGCGGAGCTTTTGAAAGCGGGTGGAAAACCGGTACTTGAAGTCCTCAAAAAGCTCTTTAATTCCGTCCTCCATGGTGGCACTACTCCGGAGGCGTGGAGCAGAAGTGCGATGGTCTTGTTCTTCAAAAAAGGCGACAACGCTCTCTTGAAGAACTACAGACCGATTTCCCTTCTGAGCCGCGTCTACGTGCTGTTTTCGAGAGTCATTACGAATCATCTCGCACGCAGACTTGACGACTTCCAGCTTCCCGAACAAGCCGGTTTCCGAAAAGGCTTTAGCACCAAACCATAGACCACATACATACCCTTCGTCAAATTGTACAGAAGTCCGAGGAGTACAATTTGCCACTATGTCTGGACGCAGTAGAACCAGAGTTACCGTCATAGGCCAAAGGATTAATAAGCTGAAGTGGCAATGTGCCGGCTATATAGCTGTAAGAACCGACAACCGATGGGGAAAAGATTCTCGAGTAGCAGCCGCTTACCGGCAGAGGAAGTGTAGGGCGTCCCCCACTAGATGAAGTGACGACCTGGTAAGACACGCAGGAAGTCATGCAGGTAGTTGTTGGGAGCACTAAGCTTGCAAGTTGTTGACGAGTATATTTACCTGGAACAAATACTCCGACTAGGTAAGTCCAACTTCGACCGAGAAGTCAATCGACGGATCCAACTCGGCTGAGCAGCGTTCGGGAAACTACAACACATCTTCTCGTTAGACATACCTCAAAACCTGAAAACGAAATTGTACAACCAGTGCGTGTTGCTAGTGATGACTTACGGATCTGAGACATGGTCCTTCACTGCTGGCCGTATGAGAAAGCTCAAGGTCGCTCAGCGAGCTATGGAGAGGGCTATGCTCAGGGTTTCTCTGCGTGATAAACTTAGAAATGAGGATATCCGCAGTAGAACCAGAGTAACCGACATAGCCCAACGGATTAGTAAGCTGAAGTGGCAGTGGGCTGGCCATATAGCTCGAAGAACCGACAAGTTCTCGAGTGGCAGCCTCGTACCGGTAGGCGAAGTGTAGGGCGACCCCCCACTAGATGGAGTGACGACCTGGTAAGGCATGCAGGAAGTCGATGGATGCAGGTGGCTCAGGACCGTGCTTTGTGGCATTCCTTGGGGGAGGCCTATGTTCAGCAGTGGACTTATGAAAGGCTGTAATAGTAGAGCACTCCCCGTGATAAATGCGACAGAAAATACAAAGGGATGCTACATCTATCCGCAGCGCCAGTGAATGGAGCCGATCATAAAGGACTTGGTTGTCGACGGCTCAAGCCACCCTTCGATGGACGCAGACAAGTGGAATGCGCTGGCACGGAAATGTCCCGGTCCGTAGATGAGAACTTTATTCCATGTGAGACCGGAAGTTCGACTTATAAAGTAGCAAGTGGTGTGTCAGTGAAATACTGTTCCGCTCTGCTGAGCACGCCAAGTTTTTAAAGGCTAATTTAGCCTTCCCTTCCAAGTGACCATGGTAGTTCAGGCGCTTAGCGCTCTATGTAAATTTTATAGTATGCGAGCAACCCGGATTCGATTCTCGCCGGCACAAATGAAATTGTTAATGTACTGATTCAGCACGTGCTCGGCGGTGAAGAAAAACATCGTGAGGAAATCTGCATGCCTGCAAAATAAAATATATATATATATATATATATATATATATATATATATATATATATATTTGAATACATGTGAAGTCCGCCAACACGAATTGGGCCAGCACGGCCAGCAAAACCCTCTCAAAAGTGAGAGGTGGCCTGTTCCCAACAGTCGGACGTATATAAACTGTAACTTATCTTTGCTTTACTTTTTTGCTAGTGACCGCGGAACTGTACGTCATTTGACATGTCGATGACGAGGATTACGATGCTGGCTGAGGCAGCAAGGGGAGTGCCCTGAAATTTAGGAGACAAGACAAAGGTTTTTCTTTAGCGGTAAACGCGCAAACCTGTGCCTTCTAAGGGTTAAACAACTATATTTAGTCGTCCCCAATCCGAGTTTTTGTTTAATAAAGGCTCGACTTCAGACACAAGTTTGTTCTGGTACTCAATGACGTGTTTTCGAGAAATATTAGTACTGCTAGTGTAAAAAGTATCACCAGTGCTGTCGTCTGCATAGCAATTAATGTTACTGGCTACTAAACTAGACTAGCTTAACTAGAGATACGAACTGGCTTGCAACATATAATTGATGTGCAGAATAAATAACATAGGTGATAACACGCAGCCTTGTAGAACACTAGCATTAATAGGCTTGTAGTCGGAGCATTTGCACAAGAAGCCCTTTGTGCCAAACCCCATCGAATGCTTTCGCTATGTCCAAATTAACGACCAAGGCCGGGAGGC